TTGAAAGTTTTTTTTATACAGAACCTGCAAGAAATTCAYGTTTGTCTATGGTTTTATTTTACCWAACCAAGCTATTCAGTTAAGACACAAATAAGTTGGTAAAAGAAGTTAGTGAAATCTCACTGGTGCTGATGGTGAAAACATTACATTCCTGAGTGTTGGCTATGTAAAAATAATCTAAAATAATATTGATGATCAACAAAATTGGTCTCATCTTGATCAATATCAATTGCAGTATAGATCACATAAAATGTATGATAAGTTATTCTTCAGCATCATTAATTAATTTGGTGTCCATGGATGTGGGAAAATACGGAAGTTTTTCAAGGACAGTCTTTGCATTTAGAGTTTAATATGCAAGCAGTGCTGCTGTTCTCTAGATTAGCCAAATTTGTAGAAAAACCCCAAACGTGCATTAACTGATCTAGTAAGTATTTAAGGAAGCTGTGAACAGATTATGAATGGAAAAAACCAAAACAGGTTSTGCTGTTTGGTTCACTGGTGTTCACATTCCTCAGCACCATTCAGTGAAAATCAGTGCAGGAGGTGTAGCCTGAAGTGAGTGGAGCTGACATGGACACAGGGTTAGGCTGCACTTAATTTACCTACATTGGCTCTACCTTTTTTTTATTGGCATAAAAAGGAGGTTTTTATCACATTTCTTCAGTGGTTTCTGCATTTTTTTTTCCTGTGCTGCTATCTGAGTAGAAAAAGTCAGTTCCAGAAAGAGGAAGTTTGAAATTTCTCCTTCAGTGTATGGCTTTGCAAAGAGATGTTGTGGCCTTTATTTGAGGTCACCAGGATGGGAATGGAGTTTCCCATAAAAATGGCCCTCCAGTGTGAACCTGAGTATGTAAAAATAGATTTTGGCGTAATAAATTAATTGCAGCATTTGCTGGTCACAACCCAGTACCTGCCAGTGATAGGCATAGTGTCTGCAAAACCTCTGCAGTTGTCAAGAAAATAATAATTTCAACTTCTTTTTATGGATAGATAATTCAGTCTTTATAAATTCAGAGGACATTCTTTTGCATGCCTTTAAATTGAACCTTTCACCCTTTCCCTACCTTAGAAAGTAATTYGATTTACGGAGTAAGTGGTGATGTGATTAGCAAATTATTAATGGCAATTTTTTTATCTGAGATAACGTATTTGCACAATTTTCACACTTAACAAAAGCCTKATTTTTACCTTTACATCAGTGAACTAAAAGTAGATGGAACATAAAAAGTTATAGACAGACTACTTAACTTTTAGAATTCACAAAGAAATAATTGCTAATTATGGTCCCAGAAACATTCTGGTCATGTGGCTCTTTGCTCTAAAATTCAGATTGCTCTCAAAAAATGGCATTCTTCTAAATTTAATGAGTAATGAACATTACATTTTTGGGCCTAAATATATTTTAATTTTTGTTCTGAGGAAAAATAGTGTTTTAAATTTTTAGTAAATTACAAAGAGGAATATAAATGTGAATKGTAGCCTTTAATAAATTTAATTTTTATCTTCTGCTTTCTGTCTAGCAACCTGACAGGTATTAAAGATTCCAAAGATTGTTTTTCCTGTCAATTTTTRGTAGAACTCAACAGAAGCAATAACAATTGTAGTTTCTAACAGCAGTTTGGTATAAAGTGTCATACATGGAACRCTTCTCTCCACCATCACCATCACCTCTCACCAGCATTTAAAACAGCTCTGAACTTTGAGAGGAATTCTGTACTGGAATGGGATGGGATATAGGATAGGATATAGGATAGGATAGGGAACATAAATACTCACTAAAGTATGAGTTGGAGGTAAATATTGCCATTGCTAATGATTGCTACTTCTCTGCTTTAATACTTGGATCACAAAATAGGTTTTRTTTTCAATTATTTTCTCAGAAATACACTCTAAGTAGAATTTGACTACAACAACACCGATTGCCTTTATATGCTATGTAAAAAATGCGAATATAATTCTAATAAGCATTAAAAAAACCCTTCAGACTTACCTTTAGGCTCTACCAAAGTTGACAGGAGCTGYTGAATGCTGCTGTGGCCCGGAATGCAGCAGGTCTGGTGAGGAGAGGACAGTGCAGGTGTGGTCAGGGTGGCTTTGTGACACCAGCCAGGAACACACTGTGCTGGCCAGGACAGGAGAGGAGAGGTGGGGCAGCCCTTSCCTGCWCTTCTGGGATCCAGCCCCWCCAACCCTCTGCAGAAACTGCAGTATTTGTAGTAAACTGGGCAGAAAGTTCTGCTTAAACATTTCAAAGCCTTTGAGCTGGTGTTTCATAGCTTTCTGTA